AAATAAGCTCAAAGTCATTCAACTAAGAAATAACCTTCACATACATGATTTTGTTTTTTCTGCAGTTACTTGGGTTTGAACTCAGGGCTTTGTGCTTGCTAAACAGGCACTTCCACCTCTTGGGCCACATCTCCAGCCTAATACATGACTATTCTTAAAGCATACTGATATTCAGAAAACATCTGAAGACTAAAATTAATCACTGACTTTTTGTGCTTAGTGTACTTGACAGCTTGTTTGGAGGGTCTAGCAGGGAAGCACAGCTACTGATAGACCCTTGACCGAAGAACAGTCCTCCTCTATTGGGGATGTTCGTCCTCTTCGAGCAAGTGCGCAGCTTCGGGAGAGACACACAAGGAACAGTGAGGTAGGAAGGGGACACCCGACTAGCCAGCCAGATCAGCTGAATCAATCCTGGCAATCAATGGGATGAAAGATGTCACAGCCAGATCACCTCACATCTGTGCTTAGTGTACTTATTGTGGTATTAAAGTATGAAAGGTAGTAGCATACTGTACAGTTAGGAAGCTCTCATTAGTAACACCAGGAATACAATTACCCTCTCCCAACTATATATGAGGTTTATTAAAGTGTATTTTAGATCTGTGATACTTTACTTTCTCTAATAAAATAGTCCCTTGAATGATAATAAAGCAAATATGTACAGTATCAGGTTTTAGTGCATTAATTCTGAGTATGTGTTGCTGAGGAGCAAACCCAGGGCATTGCCCATATATACTAGGAAAGTACTTTACCACTGAGCTATAATATACCACCAGCTTAATTCTCAGTTTTGATTTTCTTACTAGTCATTAAAATATTTAAGTATAATGGATTTTTTGCTTGTTTTTTAATGGTACTGGGATTTGAACTCAGAGCCCTCACACTTGTTAGGCAGGCACTCTACCACTTGAGACATGCCTCTAGTCCATTTTGCTCCAGTTATTTTGGAAATGGACTTTCACAAACTATTTGTTTAGGCTGGCCTCCTGATCTCAGCCTCCCAAGGAGCTGGAATTATAGGCGTGAGCTACTGGTGCCTGGCAGTATAATGTTAATCCCTGAATAGGTAAATAACATTTTAGAAAATAGTATACCTATACATAATGATTATAAATTTAATGGAATTTTTTTCTTAGAATTTATACACGCACATACTTTTTTCAGGAAGGGCAGTACTGGGGTTTTAACTCGGGGTCTTGCACTTGTTAGGCAGGTACTCTACCACTTCAGTCATGCCTCCAGCCCTTTTTCCTTTAGTTATTTTTTGAACAGATTCTCATGTCTTTGCCTGGGCTGGCCTAGACTGTGATTTGTTTTCTGCTTAGCTGGGATGACAGGTGCACACCTTTTTTGCCCAGACTGGCTTCAAATCATGGTCCTCCTGATCTCAGCCTCCTTAATAGCCAGTACTGCAGGTATAAGCCCACCATACCCAGCCCTCACAATTTATGTTTTTAAAGGAACTGTTCAAATCATCTACTACATTGACCCTATACATAAGTGGCAGACAACCTACAGAAAATATTAGACAACATAATGTATTATCAGTCATAAAATAGCCTCCTTAGGACATGACATACAAGTACCTAGAAAAATTACAAGTCTTGTGGCTTTTACAATATGAATGAGTATTTCATTAAACCATATGACATTATGAGTTTAGCTTGAAACACAAACTTGTGAACAATGTGAATTAAATGTGACAAAAGTGAAACAATATTTCTCTTTTTTGAACAGTTAATTGGATTCCTACAACTACTTAGTGTTCCTATATGGATTAAAAAATCAATAAACAATAAATTAATAAAGTATGCTATTAGCTAAACCCTGTGATTTGATTTATTTCACTAATTTGGTTCCTTGTAATTCAGTTAGTTTGGTCCTAGGATCAGCTGTTACACAGGTGCATGCCACTGTTCACAGGGAAGCTCAGTGAGTCCATCTATATGACCAGTAGAAACCTGACACCATATGGGACAAGCATTCGGAATGCATAATGCTAGTGAGAAGCTTTATCTCTATACACAAAAAACAACATGATTATTCCTGTAAAAAAGGATTTGGAAAAAAATTTAAAAACATGTCTTCCTATTTATTGCCAATTTTTAAATTTGTAAGTACCAATAAGGCAAAATTAACATACTGATTAAAATATTGAAAAATAAGTTCTAGGTACAATGCTGCAATGACAACTTTGTCAAGGAGCTAAGGCATTAGCTCCTTTTCAATATGAACAACGAGAGCTCAATGTACAAAAAGGCAGGGTTCCAAATGCCTGTTTGTAAATAAGTTATTCAAAATATAGAAAATAAATCTTCCCCCCAAACAATACCCTTTCTAGGATGATGAGGGCTGGGATGTAGCTCGGTGGTACAGCGCTTGCCTAGCATGCGTGAGGCCCTGGGTTCGATCCCAGCACCAAAAAAGAAAAGACAAAAAAAAAAAACCTCTCCCCTCTAGGATGATGAAATGTTCTATATTTTGGAATCATAGTTACATGAAGTATGAAATATGATTCATAGTTACATGAATTTTGTCAAAGTTCATCAAACATTTTACAGGTATATTTAGTGTTTATATGTACCAACAAATTTGATGCTTTTATCTGTCCTAAAAAGTGGTTAGAGTATCAATCCACACATGAAAATTAGTACATATTTAATAACACAACACTGAACCCCTTACCATTTAGACTATACCTAGCCATCATTTATACCAGTGTCTCTATGGGAAAATGAATTAAGTTCTAAATGGGAAATGTATTTATTCACCATCCCATCCAAAGCATTTCAAGGATATTTCTGGTTGTATTTCTGGGTACCTTTAGTTTACTAATTCTCTCTCAGCAGTGGAAACGGTCTGTATATATATTTTTTAATCAACCACTGCATAAATGTTCTAAATTGAAGGAAAAAGGCAGATGCCTAAACAAAGCTGTGTCCCTCGTCCTGTGATTCATGTTATTTAAAAACTGAACATTTCTATGTCATGAAATGATAGAACTAGTTTATAGAAGTAGTCTATAAACTTGAATAAAACTCAGTCAAATATAAAGATGGTTGCAATAGTTTCCACTTTAAAATTTATACCACACTACTCTGAACATCATGAGAGAGGCAGTTACAATGAGCTCACCTCACATTTTTAAAAACACAGGTAAGAAAACAACGGAGACAGAAAAAATGATTAAAGTCGCAAACATAATTGGTATTAAAATTCTCCTGATTCCCACTGTAGAGGTTTTTTCCTACTATTAGCACACATACCTAGAGTCAGTTCTCATTTTTATAAGACACATTGGCACTAAAACTCAGAGCTGAACTAATTTCTGAATATTGAGGGATGCATTATATTTTAGTTATTTTTTAATAAATAAATCATTGATTTTCTTTCACCGTCACATAAACTAGAAACCCAGTACTGTCCTCCCTCAAAAAAATTCTAGAGGGCTTAAAAATTTTTTTAAGGCTGGGGTCATGGCTGAAGTGGTAGAATGCCTACTAGTAAGTGCAATGCCCTGAATTCAAACCCCAGTACCATCACGAGTTATGTGTTACATTTGGTTGTAAACTCTACTTCATTTTTTAAAACAGTTTTTCAATTTTTCTTTTACTTTCTGAACTTTGACTCTTTTTGGATTACAGAAAAGTTGCTTGTAGAATTTCTCTTGTGCATCTTCAGCAGAAAATTTGTAGAACTAATGTTGCATCACGTATTAGGGGCACATGCTGTTGATCTGTCCCATTACTGATGAGGTTTACTTTGATCACTTAATTTTACACTTGATCTTAGCCAAAAGGCCAAGAAGTGATGATCACTTGATTTTCAAAGTGGTACCAGCAAGTTACAGTTCTGTATTTTGTGGGGAGGTACTCTGAAACTGTGTTAAGATCCTGTTTCTCATCAGACTTTCAATTGTTCAAGTTCATAGACCCATGATTTCTTATTTTTATTTAGTAAGTTAATTTTTTTACTAATATTTGATGCTCAAATTGTCTCAGATTTGCCATGGAAATCTCTTTAAATTTACTATGGTGTGTGTTTTATCAAGTCTCCATCATTCCTGGAGCAAGTCCTTATTTTCTAAAATAAGATATTTTAGAGTTCATATTATATTTTCTTTGCCCTAAACCTGAAACCAGAATTTCTCCAAGAAGTCTGATGGCTCATTTTAGTGAAGAATTGTATTTAGAAGCAAAATCTATGTATTAGGTATACATTGCTATTGGGATGTGGCTGCTCTAAGGTCCTCTCGGTGTACAAAGCTAGAGAATACATGTATACATACATGCCTCTGTATGGATGCTCTTGTCTTCCTGTTTAAGTTCTGGCACTCTGCAGCTGTCTGCCCCAGCATGAACAAACATCTTCTTTATCCTGCTTGTCCTTTGATGCTCTATGTCAGGCCATGCCTCTGTGTGGATACTTCTTGTACCTGGCTTGGGCCCCAACACCCACACTAGGTTGCTCCTCCTTCCTTGCCCCATCTAGGGTTAGACACTCTTCTCTGGGCCTCTGTTCTCCTACCTTCTCTCTCTCCTGCTCTCTCCTAGCTCTATTTCATCTGATGATGTTGAGACTGAAGTGAAAGGAGATATTTTCATACCTGAACTTAAAATAGTATAATTAACTTTATTTATTCTGCAACAGCATTCTCAATTGTACAAATATTCACTTGAAATATGTTAATATACCTACTATTAGCATGTGACAGCTCAACATGTTGGAAGTCCAAGACCTTGGGAAATATTCCCAGCCTATAAATAGGATTAGGGACCTGACTGTTAATAAAACTGATTTGGCAGAATCCTACAAGATATACCTAAGAGGTATGCTCTATGATTATTAGCATGACACCAAAGCTTTCAGTGTAAGCAGACAAGTATGAAAACTGAATCGATTTAGATTTTGTTAAAAGTTATCAACAGAAACAACTTGTAACATTTACAGCAGTCACACAAAATAAGTTAGGAAACTGTAGACATACTGTTACTTACTTTATCTACACAATCATCAAAAAACGCCAGGCTTGCATCTTTATCACTGACAAAAGAACACTCCTCAATGAAGCGAATAAACATTTGTGTTTTGGTCATCATATTATAGAATTTTTGATGTGATCTGTCCCGACTTCTTAGGAAAGCTATTCAATATAAATATATGATGTGAGAATATATATCATTCATTGATCCACAGAAATTTTGAGCTAAAAGTAACTTGATCAACCATGTCTTCAATACCCCAGTATTTCCCACTATTTTGCTGAAAAAGAAAATGACCAAATAGAAAAAACAAGGGGAAAGGAACAAAACCAACAGTCAAATAAAATGAACTCTACTGTCCTCTCACTATCTTGAGGACAACATATAAACTAGTGAATTCTGAAAGCATTTTTTAAATTGCTATTTTTTGCCCAAATATTTTGCCATGTTATGTGTATGTGCTTACTCTCATATTCATGTCTCCTTCTTCCTTTTTTCATGGCAAAGTTTCTTTTGCATACTAATGTATACCCAATGCCTAGCATTTAGTGGCACTCCATATATACTTATTTTCTCTTTTAATTAGCATGTATTAATTGTACAAAGGGGTTTCACTGTGATATTTCCATATATGTATATAATGTACTTTGATAAATTCACATCCTCTATTCTCTTCCCTTTTTAAACATTTTAAAATGGGTTCAATATATACTTATTAAATGAATTTCACTTTCAAATATTAAATACTACAAAAGAAAATAAATATGTATCATGACACCAATTGTACTCTGTGGCTTCTCAACCTTTTTTCTTTTCATGGCACAGACAGAAGGTACTATTTGTAAAGCATACTGAAATAAACAAGGCTGCTCAAGCCTGGAGGTAACCATCACAGGGGTTCCTCTGTATCGTTAACACTGCCTGGCTGTCCTGAAAGGTGAAAGCATCAACACTCCACACACATGACACAACAGAGTGGAGCACTAAGTGCAGGAGTTTCTATACTTTTTCAAATAGTTTTTTTCTGTGCATCTTGCTAATTGGATTACACTTAATGTACCAGAGAAAGAACTAGTTCTATGGAAATGGATCACCAGAGTTGGTACTCACCCCTCAAAATAGGTGTGTACTTTGATAAATATGAACTATTAACCCAAGGTTAACTCAATTAATATGAAAGCTATAAAAGTATACAATCACTCACCTTGCAGGGCAAAAAGAGAGGCTGCATCTGTTGCTGTTTCAGATGGAGCTTGTGTTATTGGCCTTAAGTATGATCTATAACCTTTTAAAATAGAGGCCATAAAAAACAAAAATGCCTCTTGGATTTCCAAATCTATCATGTGCAACCTTTTTCCAGAATTAAAATCATAGTCATTCATTGCTAAATCCATTAGTCCATCATCTCTTGGTCTCTGCTGCACTGTGAGGAAATACAGTGTTAATGTTTTCTCTAAATTTTTGAAACTAATGCTCATAATGGTCTCAGTGTAAATCTGTCATGTTTCAAAAAAGCTCCTGCTACCTCAACTCTTTACTTATACAACTTCATAATATGTAAAATGTGCAAACTTTAAAAAAGCTCACCCTATCATTTTTTAAGCTCTGTAAGCATATTTTCTCCAGGTTAAACATAAAATTATTCCTGTTTAGGATCAGAAAAAAGTTCATGTTCTTAAATAACTATTTATTTCAGAACTGTATATATTTGTTTATCAGTATATGATAAAGATCATAACCATATAAACTGAACACCGAGTTAAATGCAACAGTTCTCCCCCTCTTATTTTCATTTTAAAATACAAGTGCCTGCAGGTAAACAATAGGGATTAAAATATAAAAAACACAAGTCTTCCTGGACAACACAATGCTAAAGCAATAGACAGTAAAAGAATACAGTAGAAGCCTGGTAAACACTACCTTAACCCAGTAATCAAAGAGAGTCTCTTCATCAATAATGATACAAATAGTGCACAACCTGATAAGGATGCAATGAGATGAGTGCAGCATCTCTTCTGTGACATCCTGCCAAAGACACATGATCTGTATCTACCATGATAACTCTACACTGCTAAGTGTGATTTTCAAAGTAACAGGAAAACAAAGGAAAAATCAAGAACTGTTTTAGAAAACAGGCGACTGAAAAGACTTAAAACTAAATATGAGATCTGATTTGAACTTGGTCCTTTTGCTGTTAAGAAAATTACAAATACTGCCAAAGGGTGAATGTGGTCTGAGCATTAGGATGGCAGTAATGCTGAAGTTAGTTTCTTAATTTCCATGGTTGTTATAGCAACGTTAAAGAATGTACCTACTGATAGGAAATACATTCTATTTAGAGGTGATGGGGCATTTACTCTGAACAGGTCTGGAAAAAAAGCTTGTAACTGTTTTGAAATTAAAAGGCCTTTTAAAACATTAGGAACAATTAATCATCTTAGAGAGGTCTTTTTTGGTAGCTCTTATTGCTTAAAAGTATACTCTTACCAGAAGGCCTAGGCTTTAATTCTACCATGGTCCTTGTTAAATGTATACTCTGTGACAAGTTGCTTCACTTCCCTTAACCTTATTATCCTCATGGTTGTAACAATAAAAAAGAATGTAAGTGAAAGTGCTCTGGGGTTGGATGTTGTGGTTCAGGCCTGCAACCTTAGCTACTCAGAGGCGGAGACTGGGAGGACTGAAGTTTCAGGCCAGTCTGGGCAAAAAATTTCAAAAGACTCCATCTCAACCAATAAAAGTTAGGTGTGGTAGCAGTGGCACCCTAGGTACACAGGAAGCATAAACAGATTTAGGTCTGAGGCCAGCCCCAGGCATAAATGGGAAACCCTATTCAAAAAAGGGCTGCAGGTGTGGTTCAAATGATGGAGTACCTGCCTGGCAAGCACAAGGCCGTGAGTTCAAACCTCAGCAATGCAAAAAAAAAAAAAAATTCTGAAGCAATAAATTATAATACAATCCTTAACTATCACTTCAATTTAAATGTCTATAGCTTTAAGCTTCTGTCCTTCACGAGAGATAAGTGGACTACTTGTTGATTTTTTTTTTTTTTTTTTGAAACAGGGTCTCACTATGCAGCCCACACTGGCTTCCAACTTGAGATCCTCCTGCCTCAGTCTCCCAAGTCCTGGGATTTCAGGTGTGACACGAGGCCTGGCTTATTTAATTGATTTTAATAATATTTATGTATTTCTATAGCAGCAGTTGGACTTCTCAGCTTTTCAAAAGAAGCACAAGTACTTTTAGGAAGCAATTAGCTAGCTAACAAAAATTATGTATATATAATTTATTTATCCTGTAAGATAAAATCTTATTATACTTGATGTTACCTTTTTCAGATTCTCATACTTCTGAATGACTGGAATTATCTACTTGCTATCAAATTTACTTTGCAAACACTGTCTTTTTCTATTCTGTTTCTAACTATAAGTACCTTGAATCCCCAAAGGTGTTAGGGCATGTCCTATGTTAGTATTTCAGTAATAAATGAGACCCTCAAATATTGCTATATCACCATTGACCATATTTCACAAAATAATTATTAAAATACCTACTCTGAATTTCCATTGTTATTATGCCAAGAAGATTAGAAAAAGAAATGAAAGCTTAATTGTTCTTATCAGTAATTCTGGATCACTGTCAAGGTATGTTGTTATACAAGCTTTTTACCCCAAAATATTTCATGTCCTAACAAATTTTCTCTTTGATTAACTGTTCCATGTTTTTTGGCAAGTGTCTATCTTCAAACCATTTGAAGTAAGTACAGCATTAAGACCCACTCAGGGTGAAAAGCATTAAGACCCAGGTCTTACCCCACTAAAGTTGTTAAAAAAAATGAAGGTAGAATCTTCCTCAGCTTTTAAGGAAATAGTTTAAACCATTTGCCTCTGATATTTGAAATTAAGTTTCTATTTTATGTATGAAGAAAAATATACAACTGGAAACCCTTCATTATTTCAGTAATGGTAAAATTAAAGGAAACAACCACCTTAATATTCTTTTGAATTTTATTACTCTAGGAGAGTTCTTTGAAAATCTGGTAGACATAAAATACATATTTTACAAATCTCTCAGCTTTTGACAAGTTTTCGTTTAATGCTTTTTGACTTAAAGACTGTAAAAACATCTTTTAGATAAAATAAGTATCATCCTTTTATAAGTAAGGCAAAGGGCTTACTTCAGTAGCACTTATACTAAAATTGAAAAAACACAGAGATCAGCATGGCCCCTGAACAAGAATGACATGCAAATTTGTGAAGAATTCCCTATTTTTAAATAAAAGATTTCATTAGTTCAAAAAGAAGGACTGGGTGCGGTGGCTTATGCCTGTAATCCCAAGTTCAAGGCTAGCTCCTTGGTGAAGGACTGGGTGTGAAGGGAGTTTATGAGACTCCATTTCAATAATACAAATCAGGCATGGTGGCACATGCCTTGATTCCAGCTGAGTGGGAGGCACAGGCAGGATGACTGAGATTTGAGGCCAGTCTAAGGGAAAAAAACCAAAAAAAAAAAAAAAAAAACAAAAATCCATGAGACCCTATCTGAAAAATAACCTAAAGCAAAAAGGACTAGAGGTAGCACACCTGCCTAGCAAACACAGGCCCTAAATTCAAACCCCAGTACTGCTGGGGTGTAGGAGAGACAAATTAAGTCTCTTTCTCAGATTAAATTATATTCTTTAAGTTATCAACTTACATTTTGCCAACTGCTGGTGCAAATTATTCAGCGTATTCATCAGATTTTTACATGGCTTTTTTGGAAGAATCTTCCAGGCTACATTCTTCTTGTCACCAGTTCTAAGATAAAATGACAACAATATATTTGTTACACAGACCTTTTTTGGGGGGGTTGGGAGCTGCAGGGAGTCTATACCTGTTACATATAAAAAAGAAAAGAGAAACACATACAGAATATTCTAGTTAATGAGGAAAACCCTACGAGGATAAATTGGAATGCTGACTACTTAAAAATTAATTTACATGAAGATAGAACCTTCTTTTAAATGTAGCTGAAAATTTTATACTCATGTTGGTATTGAGTATATTACACTTGCACTGGCAGCATGATCACCACAAGCCTTAATATGGTGATCAGTATTCTTGATCCTCATTTAAGAGGGTTTAGGCACTTGAATACAGGAAAAAGAAAAGGCATTGTAGAAAACTTTCAATGAACTTATCCATATGACTTATCAAAATCCTTTACTATATATACTTAGTTTTAGTTTCTTAATAGTATAAAGATATTTTTGTTTCTTCCAGAAAGTAATATATAGTATTAAATGACTTCAGTAAATTGTAACTCTGAAATACTTCTGTAACTTTAAAAGAACCTATCTGCTAGAAAGTGGTACTCCTATAATCTCCTTTATTACAGCTATTACAACACGATTGGTCTCTAACTACATATGGGGCAGGAGAAGAGCATAAAGCACCACCATAAAGTTTGGGACTTCACTGTGTAGTCTTGTCAACTCCACTTACTACTTATTAAATCTTTTTTCTACTTCAGAAACAATGAGTACTCGTTTTAGAAAATTTGAAATATATAGATAAAAAGAAAAGCAAATCACTCAAGTTCTAACTACTAAAGGTGTAGTTAGGACTTAGTAAGCTTTTTCTGTTTAATGTTTCCTAAAATTCTCATAGAACAACTATCACTTTAAAATTAAACAAAGAAAAGAAAGAGTACCTGGGAAAGCCTAAGCTGACAAAGAATGTCTTGGAATTTACCCTATCTTTCCAAAAATGAGAAAAAATAAAGACAAAGCAGGGTCAAATGATGGTGATGTCCTCCTGTAAATGCTTTATTGTAGTTATAATGTGACCAAGAACGTGGAATTCTGTTATAGTGAGAATACTATGTAGAAACACTTTTTACAATGCTGTCTTGATAAAACTTTGCAAAACAGTACTCCCACTGTGTCTGGCCCTTCATTGAATGCATGCTTGCCTTCCTAAACTAGAATATGGGAAAAGGAGCATAATTGGTTTGCCATTTTATTCACAGTGATTAGCAAAAGTAGGAACTTGAGATATGTCTATGGCATAAATGACAGAAAAATACCTTGATATTACCTGATTACTCTAATTGTTATCTTTCACTTACATAATTTGCCCCTCTTCCCCTTTATATTGTCACTAAAATGAATCCAGGTAACAAAGTCTTATCCAATGTCTGAGTTTTAAATCTATAATAGCCTTCTACTTATTCTATTACATAAACAGTTATCTGGTTATTAGTGACTGAAGTTATTAGTCTTGGAGTCAGACAATGATAGTTTCAAATCTCAGTTCTGACAAAATAAGCTATGTGCTCTTTAATAAATTGTTTTAAAATCTAAGCTTTGGCTTCCTTATCTGTACCTCATAATGTGCAAAGAATAAAATAGGATCTTAGGCTATTCATGAAATGTTATGTCTAGTTCATACTAGATATTAATTTCTTTCTTTTAAGACATTTCTTGATATTTAGAACTCTGTACCACATGTATCAACGACAGAGAAAAAAGAAAGAGAAGATTCAATACTTGAGATTTGTTTTTCTTTCAAATTTCTGGATGAAGAAAAGAAAGTTTTTCTAGTTCTCTCATGGTTTTGAAGGAGAATTCAAGAAGGAATATTGTTGAGTACATAAATGACCCAAACATTGTATGCACATATGAATAAAAGAAATTTTAAAAAAGGAATATTTCTGAGTATAAACATCTCATGTTTCTTTGATTCTTTAATTCATTAGTAATCAAATTGAAACAAAATAACCAAGTAGGAAGGAAAGGTTTTGTTTTTTTTTTAACAAGTTAAAAGAAAGTATAAAAAGAAAAAATTTAACTTACCACCAAAATATTACCCTTAATTTCAATGTTATAAAATACTGTATAATGAAACATTTAAAAACTGACAATGAAAAGAGGTACACTTTAATTTTTAAAATAATTAAATATTCATGATAAAGAATGAAATGTTGCTGATAAAGAATATTTGATTGTCTCGATACCATAATAAAATGACTTTTATGCACACAATACATTCCATATTTTCCTGGTTAAACTTTCTATGAATAAAAGCTATTTGATGACATACATGCTTCAAAATAGAATATTTTTCCTAAATTTTTCAAGCCCTTGAGGTTTTGACAAATGACGAGATTGAGCTCTTATTATAAAAATGAAGCTTAGTGGTAGATCATGTACTTAGAATGCATGAGGCTCTGGCTTCAATCCCTAGCATCCACAGATAAACAGAGAAACATCTATTTTACATCTACTTATTTAAGTGTGAAAACTAGTATAGCTTTTGAGCTTTACTGATAGACTACTGGTAGTAATTAAGTTAGGCACACCCTGTGGATGCAATGTTGTTACATCCAGTTCGTCTCCCATGAATACCTTAAGAATAACTACACTGAGAATATGGGATATAAAGAGACAACAAAATAAAAAAGAGCTATAAAATATAGCCTAACAGCTACAACTTAAAAGAGAGGAATGTGCTGGGGGCATGGCTCAAGTGGAATAGAGCAACAGCCTAGTAACTACAAGACCCTGAGTTCAACCCCAGCACTACCACAAAAACAATAACAATAATAATAATAATAATAAAATAAATGAAAATGAAAAGGAAGCTCATAAAAATCATTACATTCCTAGAGTACAAAGGCAGCAAAACACATATTTTAAGGGTATTTTAAAATTCTAAAACATTACATCAATTATCCTGTGATGTATTAGTATTCTGATAGGAATGGTAGAAACAGAAGTATCAACTGAAGAAAGTGTTTTTTTTAATTTAAGTTGTGGTTTCACCCATATCCACCATATTTCTACCTCAACTTCCATTCTGCTAAATTTCTAATAAGGTATATTTCTCAAATACTTAAAACCTGACAATTAAAGGTATATTTTCTTTCCAGTAAAACTGCTAATATCCTGAATATACTTTATTGAAGCATAGTAAAACCTGACTCAAAGACAAAGAAAATAATATTTCTCAAAAAAAATCCCACTTTGCAATAAAACACACAACCACATACATGTACTATGAAGTTGCAAATGATTAGGTGCAGAGTCACTGAGATGTACTTACTGAGAAATGGTGTTGGTATCTAGGTCAACACAACTGACATCTGGTGGAGGATCATACAGATCAAAGTATCTTGAATCAATTCCTACTATGAATGGACATGGTGCACTCAGGACATCTGCTAAAGCCAGTGGGCAGAGAGGAACATATGGGCATGGCCAGTGGAAAGGGAAAATCATCTTGGACAAACAGAGGGTAGGAGAGTATTAAGCTTCTGACACTGAAGAATACTTTATCAGCACACATAAAAATGATCATTTAAGTATTACCTAAAGTCTAATGCTTGATACCAAATCAAAGAATCATAACTAAAGTTATTGATCAAGAAATTAAAACTGCTTCAACAACAAAGATTCATTACTTCCAGAAATTTTAATTAAGCATTAAAATAGCTCCAAATTATATAAATAAATTAAGTTTAAACTAAACTGACTGCCAATAAGAAACTGTAATACTCACAGACACTAATGCTTCTGTCACACTAGTAAGCACAGAAGGCCGTAAAGAGTGTATGAGAATCTTATGTTCTGTTACTGCAAACACCAATAGTGTGACAGCATTTTCAGGGCCCAGATTCTGAAGTAGTGTTGAAAACTTGCCACCACTGTCAATCCAAATAAAGATATATAATTAAAAAAATAAAGATTCACCTCATTGTGCTGGGGATGTGGCCCAGTGGTAGAGTATTTGCCTTGCATCCACAAAGCCCTGGGTTCAATCCTCAGCACCACAAAAAACAAAACAAACACCTCATTATCTAAAATAATGGGGAAAATTCATGATTATATATGATCTGCATTATATATTTAAATTTAAATGTGATTACTCCTGCCTCAGCCTCCCAAGTGTTACGATTACATGTGTGCACCACCAAATCTGGCCATCTGCTTTATTTATGTAAAAAGATCTGTCCTGTAGATAATGTCCAAATATAGAATTCAATTAATAAAAGGGATACTTTGGCTGAAAACAAGTTTTTTCTGTTTCATTTTATTTTTATTAAGCATTATACAATACACTGTATACTAAATAATATACTACAAAACCTTCTAGCAAGGTGAGACGATCATAACTTGACTCATTTTTTCATCAATCAAAGTGTCTCTTCAATCAATGTTCTCCAAGCCCTTGGACCCAAGAGTAACAAAAGATTCCAGATATGCACCTATCTCTCTGCATCAAACTGATACAGAAAAATACAGGGCAATGCTTATCTTCCATGCCCATTAGTAGGTGAACTTGTGGATATTCACAGTAGCCACTCCAGGGATGACCAAGCACATGTCCATGAAGCCACATGACCAGTCTTCAGCTCCCTTCCCAGTAATCTCCTAATGGAAAGTTTCTGAACATGATATATCTTCTGCTGTAATTACCTCCTTTAAGGTAAATACACATTAAAATTTGGATTTATGAATAGGTAATTCTTGCTATTGTAATAACAGCAATAAGGAATCAAGAGCTACAAAGTGATGAGATATACATACAAAGCAAATTAATAATTAAAGCAATAAATTTACAACATTCTGTATGGTAACAGAAAACTGGGTGGGAAAAATAAAATAACCCAGGAAGCCAAACAGCATTGTGTTTATATCATGTTAAATGGCTGGCTTCACTGGATTAATTCTTTTTATAATAAAGCAAAACTAGTAATATTTTCTTTAAGAAATGAAAACTTATGTCCACAAAAAACTGTTTATGTTCATATCAAAATTATTCATAGTAAGCAAAATGTGGAAACTTTCCCACTGACAAATGAATAAGTAAAATATGGTATATTCATAAGTGGAATATTAGTTTATAATAAGAGGGATGAAGTGTCCAAAACAAGCAAATCCACAGAGCAAGAAAACAGGTTATGGAGGGTGTGTGTGTGTGTGTGTGTGTGTGTGTGTGTGTCTGTGTGTGTGTGTGTGTGTCTGTGTGTGCACACACATACATGGGCCCATGTGCAATAATGAAGGAGTGAAGGAGGTTAACTGCTACAGGATACAGGATTTCTTTTTAGAGTGATGAAAACTGATTACAGTGACAGCTACAAAACACTGAATCATTGAATTGTATACTTGGGTGAATTTTATGATATGAGAATTACAGCTCAATAAAGCTGTTACTGAAATTAAGTTCTTTGGATAATTTAGAATCATTTATAATCAATGTTTCTAGTTCATTTTCAGCTTAAACAAAGGTTAAGAAAATACTGGTCATTCTGGGCTAAGCGATGGTGATGAAATAATCTGCAATTCTTACAAAATTAATGTCAAACATGGCAGCTGGTCTCCCATAGGTATGTGCTATATAATAGCTTAATTATATTGTAACTATTTCTGACAGAAAGTTATGTATCTAATTAAATTTAAGAAATGATACTATAGGGAAAACATTCTTTATAATTTCTCTGAACTTTTAAAATGATGAAACATGTTCTGCTTAATTATAACTTTAATTTTGGGATAAATTTTAAATTGCATCTGAATATTCTTCACAGGACAATTAAAACTAAAAATAATCATTTTTATAATCTACATATTTATGCCTATTTATATAATAAATACTTCTTGATAATAAGGGTAAACAAAATATCAAACACTACTGCAAAAGCTTTTCTTTCTTACAAAACTGAACCTGAATATTAAATAAAAGGAGCTTAGCTAAGAAAACAGTTAAATAAGAAGTACTTCCATCAACATTTGAGATTTTAGTTATAAAAGAGAATATGCATATATATGTAACTTTAGCTCACACTAGATTTAGAAACATAAACAGAAATAAAGTTTTACTTGCCTTAGTGGAAGAGGTGAAGAGACAGGCTGGCTGAGAATCAGATTATCATGTGGTGATAACTGGAAGATGTAAAACAAAGAATATGAAATTTAAAGATGAACTTGAAAAATGCCACTTTCTGGTGAAAGCACAGACTAACGGTGATGTCCACAATGTTTCTTGGTTTTCTTGTGTAAGAACAGCTAAGGTCACTAAGATTCTGAAAACTGTCCTGACCTCTGACCCTCCCAACAACTTCCTACTCTGAATCCAACTTTTCTTTTGTCTTCAACTTTTCCCGGATGCCATTTTAACAAATTTGTATTGAAAGAATAAACTGTGCATTTAATACAATAAAAGCAGGGTCAACAAACTTAAGAGTTAACATGCAAATCCACAGGCTGCTTGCATGCCATTCTTTACATGTTATCTAGCTGATTTTGTGCTGTAACAGCAAAGCTGAGCACTTGCAGTAGAGATTTGATGGCCTACAAGAACTAAAATATTTAGTGTAAGGCCCGTACCAGGAAGTTTGGCAGCTTTCTTTCTTTCTTTCTTTTTTTTTTTTTTGTGGGACTGAGGTTTGAACTCAGGGTTTTGCATTTGCAAATCAGGCACTGGCAAATCAGGCACTCTATTGCTTGAGCCACACTTCCAGTTCACTTTGCTCTGGTTATTTTGGAGAAGAGGGCTCATGAATTATTTGCCCAGGCTGGCTTTGAACTGTGACCCTCCCAATCTCAGCCTCCCAAGTAGCAAGTATTATAGGCATGAAACACAGGCACCTGGCTGGCAGCTTCTGCTATAAAACAAATATTCTGTGTGTATTCAAATAACATATGCTATATATATTCTAGCACTAAATAACAAGAGATAACAAAGATGACATGAGGAATATGCAGACTAATTGTAAAGGTCATCAAAAGGGTATTTTTCTAGACATTTTACCTGTATCAATATAATCATGCAATTAACTTCATCAACATTTTCAAATTTATGCAGATTTCCACAAACTTGTAAATATCTATTTGTGAAATAATTTCTAATACTAATAACACAACCATAGGGGTTGTGGTAAACACAGTAAAGTATACATAGTGATAACACATGAAAATATATCTTTTACATAAATCACTTTATAAATGATTAAATAAGCAGATAACTAACATTATCAAGAGCTCAAACAAAAAAGAAACAAAAGAGGAAAGATGCACTCAACTGGGAAAGAGATGGGGAAAATAATTTATATTTATTTTAAACTTCTTATCATAGTAAAGATACGGGTATTTCTTCCTTTCTGCAATATATGAAAATAAGTAACTTTTCCTTAAATCCTGTACATTTAACATACTAAATAATAGCCAAAGGTACAAACTTTCAAATACATAGGACAAATTTGGGTGGGGGAGTCTTTTTTTTCTCCCTTTCTTCCCCCACTCCTTTTCCTGTTTCTTCCTTCTTATTTTTTTTTTTTTTTTTTTCTCTCTCTTGGTGGGTCTGGGGTTTGAACTTAGGGCTTTTTGCATGCAAACCAGGCATTCTACTGCTTGAGCCACACTTTCAGTTTTTTACTCTGGTTATTTTGGAGATGGGGTCTCACAAACTATTTGCCTGGGCTGGCCTTGAACCATGATCCTCCAGGTCTCAGCCCAGTCTCCCAAATAGGATTATAGGTATGAACTTAGGGCTTTTTTGCATGCAAACCAGGCATTCTACTGCTTGAGCCACACTTTCAGTTTTTTACTCTGGTTATTTTGGAGATGGGGTCTCACAAACTATTTGCCTGGGCTGGCCTTGAACCATGATCCTCCAGGTCTCAGCCCAGTCTCCCAAATAGGATTATAGGTATGAACCACTGGTGCTTGGGTCTCCTTTTTCACTATGTGAGGCCCAGGCTGGCTTTGAACTCACCGTTTTCCTGCCCCAGGCTTCCAAGAAGTGGGATTACAGGTGTGTGCCACACACACCCAATACAAAAAAGTCCCTTTTAATCCTTTCTCTAAGGGAAAAACATTACATTCTAGAAGAGAGTTAACAAAACATTAAGGGACCAAATTCCAACATGAAATAGCACCTCATTCTCTTTATATTTCATTCTATTTTTCCCCCACTTAAAACTTGTTCGTATTTTTGACAGAGACATTAATAATTCACATGGCCCTCATATTAAGAAAACCTTACCTGAACTAAAATCCGTGGCCTTTGAGGAGATGGAAAAGGAACTTTATGCATAAAATGAGAAATATGCCTTTAAAAAAAAAAAAAACCCAATTGATTCCAAAGTGAATTCCATATGCTCTTAAGGTTAACATCATCACAAGTCCAAGTTGTATTACAGCCCCATGTACTGTAATTCCCAAATTCCTAGCACCGTGAAAACAAATGAATAGCCCCAAAACACTTATCTCAGTGAAGCTGCTTCTGCCTGAAACCAACACTTTTCAGATTAATAGCTGCTCACATTCAACAATGTTTGTGTTATCAGTGTTAAACTTGTACTCCCCCTAAGTATATAATAAACAACACATCATTGATGTGAACATTACCAAAGAGGCTAATTCTTACATTTGTAATGAATTTTTAATCAATTTTGCAAGTGAAACAACAGGTGCTCCAAGAAAATGGAAAGAGTTTAAATGCTTCTAAGTGATGAACAAGCTGGATTCGGAGGTGAGCACCTGTGGTCCCACCTACTGGGGTAGGAGAATCACTTGACCCAGGAGTTTGAGACTAGCCTGGGCAACATAGTAAGACTCCAGCTTAAAAACAAAAAACAAGCAAAACAACAGCAATAAAAATGAACAATGAATCTTCTATTAGCAACAGATTTAAAATTCTATTACTGATTTTGTAAGATTTTCCCCAGAACAAAATGGATAAAAAGCTCAGTGAATTTTGTTTTGAACAATACAGAAGAGAAAAAGACAACCATCATAAAGAAAAAAAAATTTTTTTTCTAAAGAAATACGCTTTCTTTCTGCGTTATTTTTCATTTTAAACATTATTTCAAAAGTATCTTGTTTTCAGAAGTGAGACCATTTCAACTCGACAGGGAAAACAGGAAGAGAAATTTATTAATTTTTACGAACATGTCTTAACTGCTTACTGCATACAAGACACTGCCAGATATGACAGGAAATCTAAAAAAAGGCATAAAGCTACGAGTCTCTACCATTAAGGTCCTCACAATCTAGGAAAAAAAGATAAGAGGAGTGAGAGACATATCTGCTTGAATTATCTGAAGCCATCACATACCAAAAATGAAAATATGATCCATTCAAGGAGGATCTGCAAAGTCAAAACTATTTTTATAATAGGAGGCATTATTTCTATATTGGAAAATGCACTGATGGTACAAAAGCATTGTGAATGAAACTGATGACACCTTACTGAGAATCAAGGCAGTGGCACCAAAGTATACCAGAAATTATACTAGTATACTTGCATATTATATACTTGCAGTAAAAGAAATGTCCAGTTCACTTAAGAATGTCTTTGAAACAGTAAATATTAAATAGTATACAGCTTAAAAATACTGTGTGATAAAAGAGGAAGTATGCATAAAGATTTCTGTAGTATATAAAAGTATGACAGTTGTCTTGATTCTGGAAAAGCACTGGTACAACTGAGTTATGAGTGAATTAACTGATTTTTTTCTTCACAGAATGCTATTTTTACTTGAAAGATGACTAACAAATTAACACTATCCAGTGTTGGTTATTCAAAAAGTACTTTATTTTTTGTTTTGTTTTTCTTTGTTGGTTTTTTGAAACTGGATTATGCTATATACATCAGGCCTGTAACTCACAATGTAGCCCAGGTTGGCCTCAAACTCTTGATCCTCCTGCCATAGCCTCCCAAGTACTGGGATTACAGGAGTATACCAGCAAGTCTGGCCTCACCAGGTATTTTCTATATGAAAATGAACAAAGTGAGCCTGTTGCTTCAAGGAAAACAATTGACAGTAACTGTTACTTCTAATTAAATTCAAACTTTTCAGTGAAAATAAAAATTTTGCCACCATGAATTCTCAAAAACTTTTCTGGGGGCTGAGGGTATAGTTCAGCGGCAGAGTATCTGCCTACCTGGAGTAAACCCCTGCATTGAACCCTCAGCATCAAAATGAATGAATGAATGATGAATGAATGTGTGTGTGTGTATATATATATATATATATATATATATATATAAAGACTTTATTTCAAAACTTTTCTAATGAGATAGGCAGTGACTTTAACAAATTTGATTTTTTATATTGATGATGAAATGTATCCACATTTGGAAGATATGCTTAACTCACTGGGCCAGTATTTTCCAAATGATCAATATACAATACTACAAAATCACACATGAGTTCAAGTTCCACTCAAAGAGTGAGACAAAGCTGGGAATGTCACTCAGTGGTAGAGTGCTTGCTTAGCCCAAGGCTCTGGGTTCAATTTCCAGCACATAACACCATCCCTGCACACACACACAAACACACACATACACTCAGGTGTGAAACAGACCGAAAGATTTCAATGTAGCAAAAAAATAAAAATTTCATTGCTTAAGTTTCAAATTCTACATTGCAAATTAGAAGAAACTACCACTTGTCAAGCTTTGATGTAGTTTCAAAAAAAAGAACATGCACAATTCCCTTTCTTATCTGTGTGAGGCCAGATTTTCTTCGCATACCTCAACTAATAAAGCTACTGCAACCAACAGACTAATGCAGAACCAAAAGACAACCTGTGTTCAAGTAAGCTAGGTATTAGAGATTAGCAGAAATATTTTTTAAAAAACCACTCTTCTCACTTTTTCTTTTTTAAACAGCTATTTTTAAAAATGATATTTATATTAAATATGTAATGAGTTTTTAAAATAAATTATAAATAATTTTTAAGTTGTTTTCATTTCTATTATAGTTAGTATTGATAGATACAACACATAAAGAAAAGAACTCTTTTAGAATTCTCATTTAAAATTATAAAGAGGCCTTGAGACCAAAAAAATTTAAAAACTGCTGGTTTTAGAATACTGAGAGTAGGAAAGGGCAAGGAAAAATTAAAAAGTAATATTATACACTGAGTGCTCATACAATACTTCTATTACTTACCTACTGCCATTAGTCAGAAAATTCTGCCAAAGGACACAAGAGCTTAAGTGGTAGAATGGTATAAAATAACAAATCAAAGTGTGATCTATAACCCCAAGACAATGGAGATATTTATACCTCATCTGCATCAGGCTGTACCAAATGAAACATTATTCAATTTTAGTGATCATTCTTTTCCTTTTCTTGGCAGTACTGGGGTTTGAACTGAAGGCCTCATGCTTGCTAGGCAGATGCTCTACCCCATGAAGCTATGTCCCAACCCTACCCCTTTTTAAGTTTCTTTTCACATAGGGTCTAGCACGTTTTTGCCCAGGGCAGCCTCTGTACCCTGCACTGCTAGGATTACAGATGTATACCAACATTCCCAGTTTGTGTGTTAAGATGAGGTCTCATTAAGTTTTTACCTGGGCTGGCCTTCAACCAAGATCCTCCTCATCTTCACCACCCAAATAGCTGTAATAATAGATGTGTACCACTACACAGCCTCAATTTTAGTGATGTTAAAGTACATGGTTAAAAGTACAAAAAGGAAAAATAATGTCCTCATCTAATTTTTCTTTAAATTCACAATATCTAAAAATAATAAGGAATGTTTTAAAGGTTTATAATAAACTTAAATCCTACATAAGAATTACAGATTTGATTTAAGAAGTTCCAACATTTCAGGGCTGGAAGAGTGGCTCAAATGGTAGCGTGCTTGCCTATCAAGCACAAGCCCCTAAGTTCAAACCCTAGTAGTACCAATTAAAAATAAAATAAAATAAATGCTGGAGGCATGGCTCAAGTGGTACAGTGCTTGCCTAAAAGCCAAGGCCCTGAGTTCAAACCCCAGTACCACCAAAAACAAAGAATTTCAATCCTATCTTGAAAAATCCATCACAAAAACGGGCTAGTAGAGTGGCTCATGGTATGGGCCCTGAGATCAAACACCACTACCATAAAAAAGAAAGAGAGAAAGAAAGGAGAGAGGGAGAGGGAGAGGGAGAGGGAGAGGGAGAGAGAGAGAGAGAGAGAGAGAGAGAGAGAGAGAGAGAGAGAGAGAGAGAGAGAGAATTTCAAACTGGACTGTAGCTCAGTGGTAGACCACCTGTCTAGTATGTGCAAGGCCCTGAGTTTGATCCCCAGAACAGTAAAAAAAAAAAAACCCACAACTTCCAATATTTCCCCAGATTAAGATCTCTAAATTTAATGAATATTAAAAAAAGTATATTTATAACAAACACACTCAAAATGTACCAAAACATATTTTTTAGAAATAAAATTATCTAAAATGTAAGACTTAAAAAAACAAGTCTATAAAAGTATGATGGTGAACTACTACCTAACTGAAATAACTAAACTCTTTTTTTTCAAATAACTCTTCAAAACTCCAGTTTCCATATTAAATTTACTCAATTACCATATGCAATTTGAGTACATACAAATATACTTAAAATGCAAAGGTCTGCCATATTTGAACTAGAAACTTCTAACTTACTTCTCAATTGGAAGGACATGAGGTCCAGAGATGGAATAACGATACAAAAAAGTCAGAAACTTCCTAAATGCATCAAAAAAAGGCCAGTGAGAAAGAAGACAGATGCATTTGTTAGTGTGAATTGTTTTGGAACTATCAGATTTCACATCTGACAATGATGATAAACCCAAAAGAAGTCTCTGTTTTTCTGTAAGATTCTCCTCAGAGTATGGTTCATAAAACTGAATAGCAGCACCATAGACCTGCAAAACAAGTAAGATACTTATTAAATACACTTTGCATCACTTATTCAAATCACATTATCATTTAAGTATCTATTTAGTATATGCTTCCAATGAGCTGGGTGAGGTGCCAGGGACACAAAGGTGAATAGACATCACTCTTGCTTTCTCGATATATTAAAGAACTACAGGCAGGGCATGATGGTCCATGCCTATAATCCCTGCACTTGGGAGGCTGAGGCAGAAAAATCTCAAGTTCAAGGCCAGCCTGGACTGCAATGTGAGTTCTAGACCAGTCTGAGCCATACAGCAAGACTATGTCTCAAAAAAACGGTAGCAGCAACAAAAAAACAAACTACACAGTAATATTTTCATGTCTCCTTATTATTGAAAGTAGACATTTTAATTAAGTTGCATTTTTTAAATAGTGGCAGCAACTGCACCAATATTCTTCATAAGAAAATGGCTGAAAATATTTAGTCGAAAACGAGACAGAATCTTAGATAAGGAAATGCAAATTTCAAGATTGAGCAATTCACTGAATTTCTCTATTTGTAAGATGAGAATATTACACTAGATCATTTCCAGCATCCCTTCCAACTATTTAAAGTCTATGATTCTAGTGCTGGGGATGTAGCTCAGTGGTACAGTGCTTGCCTAGTATGCACAAGGCCCTGGGTTTGATCCCCAGAATGGCAAAAAAAAGGTCTAGGATTTGTCTTTTATTTTACTTTCAAAGCTTCTTTATCACAGAAAATGAACCAATGAAGGATATCTGATGATGAAAAAAATCTTTAATATTATATTCACAAAAAATTATTTTGGAGGATGGGACAGAATGAAAATTCTCTCTTCCTATGTCTCTAAATATAATGATTTTAACCAAGTGGGAAAAAAAAGAGGGATGTATAATTGATTTGGTATAGCCAGCTATTTCTTTTTACTGTTCCTTGCATATGTAAAGCTTACCACTTAAAATGTGCAAGCGGTCTGCAGAAAGCATTTGTTAAAACATATAATACCTTTTCAGCTGAGGCTCCAGTTAATACAAATGTAGAAAATACAGGAAGAGGGTATTTGCTATTTAGTGGCCAACATTCAATAGTTGCACCCATTGGTAAACAAAATAGGGGAACAGATTCTGGTAGTGAGAATGATTCGTAATCTTCTTGAGGATATCTACAAATTAGACCTACAAAAGCAATGATAAATATTAAGTCATCATCTCTTAGGTGTTCATAACTTGAATGATAGAATGCTTCATTATTTCATATATTTGGAAGACCAAAGCATTGTATATATGTTCATCAAACACTTGAGCATGGCTCAATGGTACAGGGCTTGCCTAGCAAGCGTAAGGCCCTGAGTTTAAACCCCAGAACCACCAATAATAACAAAATAAACAAAACCAAAACAAAACAAAACTCTAAATGCTCCAGTAGGATACATACAGATTTTAGTTCTCAAACATTGTAACTATTAACATTAACTAACTGCTTAATATTTATCAAGTCTCACCCACAAAAATTAAGGTTTACGAGAAAAAGATAATCCCCTAGAAATACATACACACTCCTAAAACTTCAGTTTATGGCTATACTACTTTAGAGCATAATTTTTGAAATTTTCAATATGGTTATTTGCAGATACCTATTTCACTAGTTCTCAGTAACTTCTCCTCAGGAGGCTTTTTTATACATAATTACATATCCCATAGGGGTACACATGTAAATTCTAGAATAAATATAAGAAAATTGTATTTATCATAAAATATCAGTCACATATTTATAGTGTCATCAGAATAGTATTAACTTAAGCTCAGCTTCTAAATAACCCCAGATTATAAGAAGATAGTTTCAAGTGTCCTATGATTTCACGTTAGGTAGTCTTAAAAATGGTCCAGGCATCTTCTACTGAGCACATGTTAGAAGCAGTATTATACTACATTTTGCAGGACTAGAAACAGTTCATATGTGGTATGTCTAATGATGGTTTCCACTTGAGTGTAAGGGATTCAAAGTTAGTTGGTAGTATTTTCATTATTGTGAAATACAATTACATATGAACTGTTTCTAGGACTCTAATTTTATTGACTGACTGACTGACTGACACAGAACTCACTTTGTAGCCCAGGATGGCCCTAAAAGTTCAGTCTTCCTGCCTCTACCTCCTAAGTGCTAGTATTACAGACACAAGCCACTATATTCAGCTAGGACTCTAGTTTTAAAAATGCATTTTTAAAAGGCTGAATCTGCTACCTTATAAACAAGATCAATATGTCTGATATTTTGAGGTCTCTGGATGATTAACTGATTTTATTCAGTTACTTATTTTGTAGCACTTGGGACTGAACTCAGCCACTTGATCCATGCCTGCCCCCACCACTCCTTTTGCCTTTCTGGTTTGTTTCTCAGACAGTCAGTCTCTCTCTCTCTCTAAATCTTTTTTTGGAGGGGGCAGTACTGAGATTTGAACTCAGGACCTTGTGCTTGCTAGGCAGAACTCTAGCATTTGAACTACGTCGCCAGTCTGGTCCCTGGAAACTGAACATTTCAACTTTGCAAGATAAAACTGCCAATTAGTTTGTAATATTTTCATTATTATGAAATACAATTATACATGAACTATAAATTTGACCAAATTCAATACAAATACTTTAAAGAAACATTAATTTAAAGAAGAGTATCTTTTTTTCCCTAATACTTTCTGATTTAAAAGTTAAAGAAGCTAGGTATAATGGCACAAACCCATAATCTCTGTACCCAGGAGGCTGAGACAGGAGGATAGAGTGTTAAGAGACTAGCTTAGGTTACATAGTTAGATCCTGTCTCAAAAAAAAAAACCTAAATAATTAGGTAACTAAGTAACTAACTAAATATATAGAGTATTGACATTTATTTATTAGTTATTGTTTAAATCTAAGGCTTTAAAAAAATCCATTTTTTTTCAAATTAACTTGCCATGCAGCATCCACAAAACATACGAAGACAAAACTAAGAATCAAAAGACATGGGTTGGAGTCCCAGTCCTGATACTAACATATCCCACTGCGTTCCATGTCTTGATCATAGGTAGAGTTTCTTTTTTTTTAACCTTACTGGGCCCTGTACTGTACTTATATATGAAGCATTCTCTGAAAAATTGTACTTACCAGCTTTGTAAGATATAGTGTTAGACTTTGCCACCGATTTTTTATAACATAAGTACACTGCAGATCCCCACTGAATTTAAAAGAGAGAAATAACATTTAATTTTAAAAGGCATAACATGATAAAGATGGAATTTCTGAGTTCTTCAATATATAGTATCTAAAACATAGTAAAGGATTTCTCTCTGCTGTTTTCCATTTGCTATTTTGTCAGCATTTTATTGGAGTTCTTCTACACTTGTCTTTCAGAAGTAAAACTTAACATATTTTTTCCTTGCGATAGCAGTAACATGAGGAAAAGCTGACCCGTTAAAACAAAACTAAGCCATAACAATTTAGATTTTATTCCAAGTCTCAACCTTGACCAGAAATGGTAAATATGTACATACTTTTAACTCCATGACCCCTAGATTTTTCTGAAACCCTTTATGCTCAAACTTCTCCATACTTGTAATATCAATATCCATTTTCTTATTCTTCAGTCTTTCCTGAATCCATTTCAAATCAGACATTTGATCTCTATTACTCCTTTGAAGAAAGCCTACCAATCTCCACGGTATAAATGTAGTATTTGATTCCTACTCTTCATTTTATGAGCCTCTTGACAGAGTTTCCTATCACTGATCATCCTTTCAACCATTTCCTAGGCTTTGAGGCATCACACTCTCCCGGTTCTTCCTCATCAACTCTCTGTCTCCTTTGTGATATCCTCCCTCTTTCCAGGTCATTAAATGTGACTCTTTACTGTATTTAAATGATACATAGTCAGTTGCATGGTGTTAAAGTCTCAAATTTCTAGTTTCAAGTGCAAGAGTCTATCACCACCACCACCAACTCCAGACTCACATCCTTCTGCCCCCTGACACCTGTACTTCTGTGTTTAATAGCACCTCACATTCACCATTCCCATAACAGAAGTCTTGTCCTTCTCACCCCTGCTTTTCCTCCCAGTGTTTCTCACCTCAGGAATGGCCCACCATTATCAGTCCCAAAACCCAAGAGTCACTTGTGACTTTTCTTTTTGTTTCACACATCATATCCAATCTATCCACAGATTTGGTCAAGTCTACCTTCAAAATCTACCTTGATTCTGATCACTCTTTACTTGTCTTTACCACTACCACTCTTCATCAAGGAACTACCATTTTTAACTTGGACTATTGCTGGTACCTCATCAATGTCTCAACTTCCTGTCTTGTCCCTCACCAGTCCATTCTCCATAGCTAGAGCGAGTCTATTAAAATGCAAAACAGATCAGGTTACTTTCAAATAGCTTCTTACTGAACTAGGACCCAAACACCTTACTGTAGGCCACACACTCCCACAGAATCTGTGACTGCCTCTCCAACTTCACTGGCCTCCCTGCCTTTCCTCAGCATTCCAAGCACACATCTCTGCAAAGGTCTTCACCCTTTGTTTCCTGTATGCATTCTCTTGTTCTAGTCAAGTCTTTGCTCCAATGTCCTTTCCTCAGAGATCTTGCTAATATCCTGACCAAACAGTATCCTCATTACTCTTTATCCTCTTTAATCTTCTGACCATGTGTCCCTACCTGTCATTACATGCTGGTTGTTTATTGTACTCCCTACTTGAACGTAAACGTAAACTGAATGAGGACAGGGACTTTACTTTCTACACCACTATGCTCCCAGTACTCACATACAGTTGGAATGTAGGATTACTAAGTAAATACACAAATAATTTAAAGACTTGAAACAAGGAAAAAACAGCTTCATAAAATAAGCATCTTTCACATAATCTATGCAAATGACAAAGGGCAATGTCACTGATACTTAAAAATAATGGTGGAGCACTTCTGTAATGCCAGCACAGAGGAGGCTGAGGTAGGAGGAGCTCAAGTTTGAGGCCAGCCTGGCCTACATAGCAAATGCTATCTTCAAAAAGAGGTAGATAATAAACAACTTTTAAGCAGGTGCTCTACCACTTGAGCCACTCCACCAGCCCAATAAATAACTTTATTTTCACAATCTAATACTATTTATATAGCTCTACACTACTACCCTGGGTTGCAGTCATCTTTCAAATGGTCTTTCTCCTTTCATTTTTGCTCTCCACTGGTTCTTTTCATAAGTCAGAGCATGTGAGAGTGACGTGCTCTGAACAAAAATAGACCTAAATCTCATTCAGAATAAATCCAAAGTCCTTATCTATTACCCAGAGGTCCTACATTATCAGTCCCCACTTTCATTATCTGTTCTCCTCTTAAAAATTTACTCTACTTTAAGACCCAACACTCTCTTCACTGTTCCCAAAACATACCAGGAATGTTCCCTCTTTGAGGCCTTGCATAGGGTTTTCCTTCTATTTAGGACATTCTTTGCCCATGATATATGAATCATTAACTCCTGCCTTCAAATACTACTTTCAGATAATGCCTACCCCTATTCCACATTGCAACCCAATGTCATATACCCTTATATTTTATTTTATTTTTTGGTGGTACTGAGGTTTGAACTCAGGGTATACCCTTAATCTTACTTTGTGTAGATTTTCTTCTTGCATAGCATTTATTTATTTATATTTTACTATCTATTTCCCCCAGCCTGGTTCATTCCACATTCTGTATTATTACTAGTATCTAAGAGTGTCTGACACGTTGTAAGTGCTTTGAAAGTATTTGCTGAATGAATCTTTTTGGGCAGAGGAAATGGTGAGTGCAAAGGCCCCGATACAAGAGTACAGTGCCTGTCTTGTTGTAAAAGCTAAAGTGTGATGTAACAGAGATAGTGCCAGGAGAGGAGGCCAAAGTATGTAGGGCCTTGTAGATGTTTCAAGGATGTTTTCTCCTACTCTGAGAGAAACTGAAAGCCACTGGAAGGTTCTAAGAGTAGTATTATCTGACTCACAGTTAAAAGCACCCTGTTGAGAAGTGAGAGTAGGAGACGAGAGGAAGCAAGGACACCAGTTAGAAGTCTACTAAAGTAATCCAGGTAAAGAAAATGATGAGGGCTTGGATGAGGGGGTAGCAGTGGGAATGAGGAAAAGAGGTCAAATTCTGAATGCAGACAATAAGATAATCTATTTGATTAGATATGAAGTGTAAGAGTGTCAAAGAAGACAAGTTTTTTAAAATATATTTTTATTTTTAACTGACACATAATAATTGTACTTATTTATGGGGTACTATTTCAATATATATGTATGACTTATAGTGATCAGAGCCAGGTAACTGGTACATCTAGCACCTTGGACATGTATCATTTCTTTGTACTGGGAACATTCAAAATCCTCTGTCAGCTATTTTGAAATAATTAATTACTGTCAACCATAGTTATCCTACTGTGCAATAGAACGTTAGAAATTACTCCTCCCGTCCCTGTATCCATCAATGGCAAGGTTTTAGGATGAAGTCCAACAGATTTTGAGGTAAAGATAAGGAGTTCAGTTTTAGACAGGTTAAGTTAGAAACATCTATTAGATGTTCATGTGAAGAGATACACAACCCAGTGCACTTCCTCTCCTCACCTTCTCTGCAGTTATGGGCCTCTCTCCACCCCGCCTATCACTCCTACCTTTTTCCCCACAGTACTTGTTGCATCGTCCACAGCAGTGCCTAATATGTAGATGATTAATAAACTTTTTAAATGAATGAACATAAGAGGATGTGTTTGTGTATACATGACAGAGTGCCTACATGAACAAGTACACAGGGGAAGATTTGCAGCACTGAGAACAAACAGAAAACAAGCTTACTTTAAGAAAGAAATATTTTTATTTTTGGTGGTACTGGAGTTTGAACTCAGGACCTTGTACTTGCTAGGCAGGTGCTCTACTATTTGACCCATACCTCCTGCACCCCTCTTTTTTCCTCCTTTAGTTATTTTTGGGATGTCTTATATTTTTGCCCAAGCTAACCTCAGACTACAATCCTCCTACCTTTGGCCTCCTGTGTAAATGGGATTATAGACACACACCACCATGCCCAGTTTATTAACTGAGATGGGGTCTTGCTAATTATTTTTGCCAAGGCTGGTCTTGAACTGAGATTGTTCCATTCTCCACCTCCCAAGCAGCTGGGATTAAAGGCATGAGCCTGTAATAGTAAGCAAAGTTGATATCATAAGTGTAATTTCTAATATGGGTTTTGTGAAGGTATCAGTTTTACAAACAACACTGACAAGCTGCAAAAGGATTTTCATGTCAGGTATTCAAATGTGAATTAGTTTACTACTTAGATTTCTCTGAAACTCAGTCTCACACATTTAATAAAGTTCTCAACCACATATACCTAAAAATCTGATGCTGAGCAATCAGAAAAGTTACCACAGTGGTACTACATGATTGTTTTTTTACAAAAGATTTTATCAAGAAAGACCATCTTCGGAAGATTAAAAAATGTAACAATTTTCTGCTTTGCTTTTCAACTTTAGGTTATCTGTCAGTCTTCCAAGAATGTCTTCCAAACTGAATAGCTAAAAGCATGTGATCAAACTCTAAAACAAAAGAGAAAAATATTCAACATCTCTCTTGTTTAGACATCATAACACGCAGAAAATAATTTGGGCATCTGCAAGTATCTGACCAAAAGTCAATGAAAATGCTTAGTCTTTTAAGATAGATAAATGGGTTATATTATAGGTGAACTCTCTATTGAAAACTGTCAACTCCAATACCCTACAAATCAAATTTATAAGGACAACAAAAAACTTCAATATAACTTTTATGTTAATAAAAAATTATATGACCACTTACATATGGTAAAAATGGAAGGAATATTCTAAAACAAAAAACAGATACAATAAAAGTTATGGGGCTTGTAGGAAAAGAACCACAGATATCAAAACTGCAAAGGATGCCAGGTGGTGGCTCACGCCCATAAACCTAGCTACTCAGGAGGCAGAGATCAGGAGGATCACAGTCTGGAGCCAGCCCAGGAAAATAGTTCCACGAGACCCTATCTCGGAAAAACGCTTCACAAAAAAGGGCTGGTGGAGTAGCTCAAGGTGAAGGCTCTGAGTTCAAGTCCAGCATCACAAAAACAAAAACAAAAAACCTGCAAAGGAGGCTTCCAAGTTTTTACACAGAAGCTTCACTAAAAACAGAAAGTATAGG